CCGAGTGCTGGGATTAAAGGCGTGCGCCACCAACGCCCTGCTCCCCCTTCTTCTTATAGCTGCCAATTCCATGTATGTTTTCTAAAGTTGGAAGCAGGGGGAATAGTTTCACCCAATGGGCCCCAAGTCTCCCAGAGTGTGTGGGAGGACACTCTCGACCTAGTATTGGAATAGGGAAGGCAATGGAGGAGATTGTCGTTAGTGCCGCTCCCCCCTCACACATTCTGTTTCTTTCTCCAGGGCATTGACGATTCTAGCAAAGACAAGTAAGTTGGTCTATGGGATAGGACGGGTCAGTGAGGGAGGGAGAGGCATTTGCAGCCTGGGATGGGCTGTGGGGGCTGAAACTTCCCATTTCTTATAATGTGTAGGAGGAGCAGGTACCACACATGTAGCTCACACAGCCTTCCTTGGCTGCTGCCTGGTCCCTGCCCTTCTCATTGCTTATCATGTGGCATTATTCATGCACCTGGTGAAACCTGTGTCCTGTTATCAGCCGTGGTGCCCAAGATGCTCTGAACCCTGAAGATGAGGTGGACGAGTTCCTGGGCCGTGCCATTGATGCCCGTAGCATCGACCAACTGCGTAAGGACCACGTGCGCCGGTTCCTGCTCACCTTCCAGAGACAGGATCTTGAGAAGAAGGTTTGGGGGATACAAGGGCAAAAGAATGAGGGTTGGAGGGAGGAAGAGAGGGAGGAAGGGCCTGGCTGGGAGGCTGAACACAAGTTGAAGAAGCAGGAGGACCAGTTAGGGATGGGAAGAGACCATGGCACAGGTGGGAACTCATAAATTGGACCAGCTGTTCCCCACAAGGCCCTGGGATTGTCCTGCTCTTGCCATCCATGCCATCCCCGCCAGGGCAGGACCCAGCGCTCAGCTCATTCTCCTGTCTTCCCTCAGTATTCACGGAAAGTAGATCCTCGCTTTGGAGCCTATGTCGCCTGTGCCTTTTTGGTTTTTTGCTTCATTTGTTTCATCCAGCTCCTCATATTTCCACAGTGAGTCCCGTCCCTCTCACTACATCCCGAACTTTCCTAAACACCTGGGCAAGCCACTGGTCTCAGATCTGTTCCAGGGATGGGACAGGGCTGCCCAGATTTTGCTGATTTCCCCCTGGCCTTATCCTGCTGCAGCTCAACCATGATGCTTGGGATCTATGTCAGTATCTTCCTGCTGTTGCTGGTCACTGTGCTGATCTGTGCTGTGTGCTCCTGTGGTTCTGTGAGTAGGGGGACTTTCCCTGAGACTGTTGGGGAAGGAGGGGGGTTCCCATGGAAAAGGGAGGGAGGAGGAGGAGGAGAGGAGGAGGAGGAGGAGGAGGAGGAGGCCATGTCTCTTGGTAGACCCTGCTCTTGGTTGGTCTTCCTTCTTAGCAAATGTCACTTCTAACTCTTGGTCTCTTGTGATTGCAGCTCTTCCCCAAGGCCTTGCAACGTCTGTCCCGCAGTATTGTCCGCTCACGAGCACACAGCACAGCAGTTGGCACCTTTTCAGTTCTGCTTGTGTTCATCTCTGCCATTGCCAACATGGTAATTCTCCCATCTCTACCCTATGCCAGGCCCTTTCTGAGAACTGAAAGTGTTTTCAACCTTTGGGGAACCTGTTTTGTGGGGCAACTCTTGTTCTCACTCTGTTTCCCCTTTCTTTTGTCATCCCTGAGAATCTTAGTCCATCAAATATAAGGCACCTGGGTATGGCCCTTGTAACCCTTTCCCTCATTGGTTATCCTTTGCAGTTCACCTGTAATCACACCCCAATAAGGACCTGCGCAGCCCGCATGCTGAATTTAACACCAGCTGATGTCACTGCCTGCCACCTGCAACAGCTCAATTACTCTCTGGGACTGGATGCTCCCCTGTGTGAGGGCGCCGCACCCACCTGCAGCTTCCCTGAGGTGTCCGAGCAGTGTTCAGGCAGAGGGGGTTGTTTTGGCACAGTTACTCGCCTCTCTGTGCCAGGCCTAGTGATGGCACCATAGAGCTGGGAACGCAAAGTATTCCCCAACTCTAGGAGCAACCAGGGCCCCTCCTCTGTAGCTGAGCATGAACTGTAAAGGGAGTCGGGGCTGGAAGGTGGTGGAGGGAGGTTAAGAGGCAGGGGGATGCAGGGTTCTTCCTTCTCTGGGTGCCGTGGTCTTTGATGTCACCCAACACCACCTCTGTTGTCACCCCTTCCCCAGTACTTCGTCGGGAATGTGCTGCTGAGTCTTTTGGCCAGCTCTGTCTTCCTGCATATCAGCAGCATCGGCAAGCTGGCTATGACCTTTGTCTTGGGGTTCATCTATTTGGTGCTGCTTTTGCTGGGTCCCCCGGCCACCATCTTTGACAACTATGATCTACTGCTTGGTGTCCATGGCTTGTAAGTTCATTGTCAGCCCTTTTCATGCCTCCCTTAACCCTTCGGGACTCAGAGTCTCTGGTACTGAGGCCCTTGGGATGTACAACTCACTTGTGGGAGAAAGGGAAGGGGAGTTGGGGGGGGGAGTTCATGACACGTGACCTCAGGTAGTTATACCCCAAAATTCCAGTTGTGTAAAATTCCTGGTTTTTTAGGCTAAACTGAAATAAAAAAAAAAAAAATCCCCATTTACGTGGTGCTTTCCTGCCCTCTTTTTTTTTTTTTTTTTTTTTTTTGAGACAGGGTTTCTCTGTATAGCTTTGGTTATCCTAGAACTCATTCTGTAGACCAGCCTGCCTCTGCCTCCCAAGTGCTGGGACTAAAAGTGTGCCCTACCACCTGGTTTACCACATATAGTTCACTGAGTTGTGTGCGGGCAGAACTCTGACAAAAAGCCCACCCTTCTGTCCCCTTGTGATATGTGGCTGTAGCTTGTGTTGGGGATAGTAAGAGTCTGCTGGGTTTGAGTCCTAGGCCTGCTTCTCATTGGCTTTGTAACCTTGGATAGTAGTTAACTTCTCTAAGCCTGGGTTTTCTCACCAGTAAATGTCAGTATCACCTGTATCTCAGGGCAGTGGTGATGATTACAGTAACAAACACTTCTAGAGCCTGATGTTAAGCATCCTAGGCACACGCTAAATCTTTCAGATGTGGTACTTAGGTCTGACCCCTGTTTGACAAGGGTTTGAAGCAACTTGTCCTGGCCCATTTAGCTGCTCAATGAGGAGCACCTACTCAGGAAAGGTCTAACCTTTGCCCTTGTTGAGCTCATTTATATGAGCAAAGGTGCCTCCCACAGGCTTGATTAGAGATCGGGGTTAAAGATGTAGTCCCTGACTCCCCCACAGTGCACCCCAGTCCCATCCCCACAGCAGCCAGCATCCACTGACTTTTGTATCTTCCTGCCAGGGCTTCCTCCAATGAGACCTTTGATGGGCTGAACTGGTAAGTGGGGGCCGTGGGACAGCAATGGATGAGGCTGGTCAGTGTTCCCTTCGGACACCAAGCAGGTCTCTGATTATTTTCAGCCCAGCTGTAGGGAGGGTGGCACTCAAATATATGACCCCTGTGATTCTGCTGGTCTTTGCCCTGGCACTGTATCTACATGCACAGCAGGTGGAATCAACTGCCCGCCTGGACTTCCTCTGGAAACTGCAGGTGATTGGGATGGACCTGTGCGGGAAGAGGAGGCTTCTGGGGGCACGAACCTTGGCCAAGCCAGAAATGCATCTCTTGCTACCTGGCTGAGGCTGAGCCTGAGCCTGAGCTTGCCAGAGTCCACCCTGGTTCCATGCCTTCTCTGTGTCCATCTCCTGTCCCCTTTCCCATCTTGTACCTGCCCCTTCACTCCTTTGCCTGTCATTTAGGCCTTCTCTGCTCGTGCCTTTCTTCCTCCACGTGGTTCCCTCTGATGCCCATCTTCAGGCCTTGGCCCACCCCTTGTGATTGTTGGGCAGTGGGTGATGGATGTGGTGCCCACAGGCAACAGGGGAGAAGGAAGAGATGGAGGAGCTCCAGGCATACAACCGACGGTTGCTGCATAACATTCTGCCCAAGGACGTGGCTGCCCACTTCCTGGCCCGAGAACGCCGCAACGATGAGCTCTACTACCAGTCATGTGAATGTGTGGCTGTTATGTTTGCCTCCATTGCCAACTTCTCTGAATTCTATGTGGAACTTGAGGCAAACAATGAGGGTGTCGAGTGCCTTCGGCTGCTCAATGAGATCATCGCCGACTTTGATGAGGTACTTGCTCATCAGCTAGCACTGGCAGACTTGGGGACCAGGGAGATGGAACAGACTTTGGGTGAAAAAGCCATAGATTAGATGGGGTGAGTGTCCCTTGCCCTGTCAGAGGCAGCAAGGTGGTCATCATTATGGGAAGTCAGAAGAGGACATGAGACTCTAGGAGGGTGCTGACAGGGTAAGCATCATTTGATGTCATTGGAGAGGGGGACAGCAGTCAGTGGGCAAATCCATATGGATTTGCAAGCAAGCATGATGGTCTCTTGAATCATGAAAATGAGAGCAAAATGTGAGGAAGTGTTCTTAGCACCCAGGTCAGTGATGGGCTGTCCACTGTTCTGAAGGGAAGTCCCCCCCCTCACTCTGGGACACAGTTCCTCAAAGCATATCAGAGTATTTCTGCTGCAGGGTCCATCACAGTCAAGCTTCTGAAGCCACATACCCAGCTCCTTGCCCGGGGTCCTGAACTGCCTGTTTTCTTGGCTTCTTGGACCTACACTGAGAATAGCAATTGGAAGGGGGCTCACCCACTAAAACAGTGGGGCTGTTGAGGGGAGGAGTGGGAAGAGCGCTAAGGAATGACGAGGAGTGAGCTTTGAAAAGACCTGGGTCTGGCTTGACAGATTTCCCTTCCCCACATTGTCCAGATCATCAGTGAGGAGAGATTCCGGCAGCTGGAGAAGATCAAGACAATTGGCAGCACCTACATGGCTGCCTCTGGGCTAAATGCCAGCACCTATGATCAGGTGGGCCGTTCCCACATCACTGCCCTGGCAGACTATGCCATGAGGCTCATGGAGCAGATGAAACATATCAACGAACACTCTTTCAACAATTTCCAGATGAAGATTGGTGAGGGCCTGAGTCTTGGCACATTTTACTGGGACAGTTCGTGGGTAAAGCCGAAGGTCTGGCTTGGGTAGGGTTACAGGTTTTCCATCAGGACTTCTTAGGGTTTCTCCTTCGCACCCTTGTGTCAAGTTTGATACTAATGACAAAGACCATTTATTTTGAGTCTCCTATGTGCTGGGGTCTTGTCCTAGATATTTTGAGTACATTTTAATTCTCACATTAAGTGTCCCCCCCCTTAAGATGAGAATAACACCTAGAGATTAACTTGGCAAAGGTTGGAGGACTAGTAGGCAGGTTTGTCTAACACCTCCTGCCTGCTATCTCTGTGTGTGGTCAGTCTGAAGAGGTACTTCTCCATTGTGCTGGTGGAAGGCAGTGATTAGTAGCATAGGTCTGGAGTCTGGCCTGACTTCCCACAGCTCTGTTTACTGGCTCAGGAAGTTACCCCAATATCTTGTCTGTAAGATAGGGGCACAGCAATATGAGCAGTGAGCGCACGGAGACACAGTCAGCATGTAGAACAGTAGTTGTCTGAACTCAAGGGAGCTACCTTAGCAGTCGCCCAGACCTTTTTAAAACTATCAGAAAAATTGTCCAATTTCCACTTATTTTTTTCCCTTTGGGTCCTTCTCAAGGTGCAAGGGAAGATGACTCCCTGGAGGGACCCTGGAGGATCCTAGCCTCAATCTCTTGCTCTCTACTTTTGCTATTATCTCTGCTTCAGGACTGAACATGGGTCCAGTTGTGGCCGGTGTCATTGGGGCCCGGAAGCCACAGTATGACATCTGGGGAAATACAGTGAACGTCTCCAGTCGTATGGACAGCACAGGGGTTCCTGACCGAATACAGGTAAGTGGATGTCGGGGGAGTGTGGAGGTAGAGGGCTTTCACAGGTCTGTCTGCAGGGCAGGGGCAGGGGGCTGTCTTCTATGGCTGTTGGGGAAGGGTTGTGGGGAGGAGAATTAGCCTGATAGATAACTCTTACTGGGCTTGCCAATATATCACCGAGGATTCCAGGCTAAGCAAGGCTCCCTTCTCACTTCCCCAGGTGACCACGGACCTATACCAGGTTCTAGCTGCCAAGGGCTACCAACTGGAGTGCCGAGGGGTGGTCAAGGTGAAGGGCAAGGGGGAGATGACCACTTACTTCCTCAATGGGGGCCCTAGCAGTTAGCAGAATGCAGCTGAGATTCAGCTGAAGGGACCAAGGTGGCCATTGAGTGGACTTTCTGCTCAATGGGTGGAGCTGCCGCAGGGGCCACTGAGCCTCCAGATCTCGCTGACAGCAAAAGGGGCCATCCCAGCAGGTTGTGCTTGGACCACGTTCGTCTGCCTTCAGAATGGCGAAGGAAGAGGGGACACCAAGAGGATTATCCAAGTGACTTTCTCAATTGGGGTAGGGGCTGTTTGCTCTCCTCATTTTTGGAAGCAGAAGAGGGGGACAGCAGGAGCCAGGTAGCCCTCTTGTATGAGGGAGCCAAATGGCAACTCCCTATGCCTACTGTTTCCCTGTCTGGGCAACAGGCTCAGGGCTGGGTCATTCCTTTCCCTGTTTTTCCGGGGACTATTTTGTACAAAGCCTGGGGCAGGCATGAGGAACGCCTATTCCATGCTTGCCTTTGCTTGACTGTGTCCTCAGCACTGGTCCTGGGCATTCCCAGCCCCAGCCAAGTCTCCTTCCTGGGCACAAGGCAGAGGAAGGAGGTGCTGTGGGGACCTAGCTCTGACCACATTTCAGGGGAATGTTTCCATTTGCCAAATCCTAGTCCCATGATCTGTCCCCAAAGGGGAACAAAGGGACCTCTGATAGCGAAGAGTTAGCCCCGGTTCCTGCACGTTCCAGGAACAGGGGTATCTGGCCTCATTGGTACTGTGAAAATGACCAGCCAGAGAGCAAACCTGTGTGTGGGGACATCAGAAGATCAGGAACTGGATGTTCACCTGCAGGTGCCGAAGAGTGCAGGCGGCCAGGGAGGAGGATGGTGCCACACTGACCTGAGGCCCCAGTGTGGCTGCAGTTGGCTCCTTTGACCCAGATCTCCCTTGCTGTCTGCTGGCAATGGGGCATGGAGTGTCTCTACCCCTTGTATTGCCAAATAGAAAAGAGTCAGGGTTCCAAAAAAGATGACCCTGACCCCAAACCTGGCCTCCTAAGTCCGGCACTAGGGAGGGCCTGTGCATTTGTGTAATTGTGTGTGCATGTTGCTTTTTGTGTGTGTATGTTTTCTAGGTCTCTGTGTGTCCATGTGCCCCAGCTCCTCAGATCCCCACTCAGGGCTGCCTCTCTCCTGGGGGCCTCTGCCTTCTGTTGTCAAGACAGGGTCTCCATCAAGGATGGAGAGAAATGGCCAGGTTGCACAGGAGTGGGGTGGGGTATGGTAGCAAAATGAAGAGTGCTCTGGGGAGAGGAGTCCTTTTTGTGCCAAATCCCTAAGTGCCATTTGGGGGCCACATGTGCAGTATGACTGTCTCCCTGCCTAGAGCAGGGGCCCAAGCACCTGCTTAGTTTCTAGTGTTCCTTGCACTTGAACTGTTGAAGGTTTGTGAGGTAGAAGCTCAGGCATTCCCTGGGTTCCTCAGCTTGTGTCTTGGGGTGTGGTATACTTTCTGACTGGGTAGTGTGGGGTCCCTCTGAGGACCCATATTTTGGTACTAGGGGATGGAGCCTGGGAAATTTAAACTTGGCTTTCCCAAGCCTTCAGCCTGAATCTAGCATGGCTAGACTCTAGTCCTGGCTCCCAATCCTCATGAAGCCTGCAAGGGTTGGACTCCAGTCTCTTTCTGTCCTTGCCTTCCTTTTACTCCTGCAGCCTCCTTGACTCGGCCTGAATTAGTTGGTGCCTTGGTTTGTCTGTCTGTACCTATTTAAGCAGGAGGCATATGCCTCAGTTTTGATTGGAGACCACTTTGTCTTAGACTCTGACAAGGCAGAGAGGAAAGTTTCATGGGGGTACCGAAGGGGCAGGCAGTATTCTTGCCTTTCCTCATGCCTCTGCCACCAGTTCTCTGCAGAAGCCTGGTTTCTGGCTTGGTACTGCCTTCCCAGCAATCTCCATGTTTCAGTTGATGAACCAATGGGCGCTTGATTATCCAAGGTGCAGAAGAGGGAAGATTAGCTGGTCCAGACAGAAAACTTTATCTCCCTCGCTGGATAGGAAGGGGTGGGAGTGAATAAGCCAGAATGGGAAGAGCTCAGCTTTGGGTGATCTGTCAGTTTCTTGCCAGGTGGGAGGGGCCTGTCCATACCCTGGCTCCCTGTACCACAGTGCCAGCCATGGCCTTCTCCCGAGTTACCGTTGCCCCTTTCCTCACCGGTTGGTGGAGGAGTTGGGGTAATGGGAGGCCATGGGCTTTGGTTTTATAATGTAACCACTGTGGGAGCGAGGGAGGGTGGTGTACCATGTATTTCAGTGAAATATTTAATATATTTAAATATCAATAAAATCAAACTCTTTGTTTAAAAAAAAAAAAGCCTATTCCTCTGCAACTGTTTGGGCACTGGGTCTGTGTCAGAAGTGACAAAGCCTGGCGCAGCTAGCAAGCTCTTGTCTCCTGGATCTCTGGCCCTCTTTCATCTGTGATCTAATGGCTTCCTGTGGTTTTCTGCCTGTCAGGATAAAGCTGCAGAGAGCACAACTGCTCGGGGCCCTTCAGCCCCATGAGGATAGATGACCCTTGTCATGCTTTAGGTCAGGACCTCTGTGGCAGTCCTCCCAGTGCTCCTCCCAGTGCTCCTCCCAGTGCTCCAGCCCCTTCACACTTCTCATACCAACATGTGACCTCATCAGGAATCTCACCTGCGCTGGAATAACTCCACTGCCTCCCGCACCCGGTGTGAAGTGACTTTAGTTCCGTTGGCTTATTCTGCTTTCTCTAGTCTTCCCCCTCCCCCCTCTCAACTTGAAGACTTGGCCATTTTCACCCCTTCTTGCCCTCGTTCCAGTTTTCATCTTCTCCTGCAAGCGTGCCCTCCTCAGTATAGAGTGAAGGTTTTGTCATTGAGAATAGAATGGTCCATGTATCTGGAAAAGAGAGGAAGCATCTCACATTCAGCCCGGCCAGGCCAAAGGGAAGGGTGCATCCTTACAAATGGTCCTCAGGACTGCCTCTGCGCAGAATGGGAGAGGGTGATGAAGTAGACCACTAAGGGAGACTGCTGCTGATGGATGCTGCTTGGAGTAGACGCATCCTCAGGAGTCCACAGGAATGCTGGAGACGTTGATTCTGTGTCACCCACACTGGAGACCACACTGCCCAGGGTCTGAGGCCCACTCTCCCTGATAAGACTCAAACCTCTTCTATTGTCTGATACCATCCCCCCACCCCCCACCCCGCCTTTTTTTTGAGACAGGGTCTCTCTATGTAGCTCTAACTGTCCTGGAACTCTGTGTAGACTAACCTGGGCTCAAACTCACAGGTCACAGAGATCCACTTGCCTTTGCCTCCTGAGTGTTAGGATTAAAGGCTGCATCACTACCCCAGGTCAATTCTCAGCTCTTATGTGGAGCCGAAACATAACTATGGGATTCAGTGCAGAAGGAGAGAACTTCTTCTGGTCTCCTACCCTGACCCTTCTCAGCCTAACCTGGTCATTGGGCTTTTAATGAGACAATGGCGTGGAGTCCGGATCCATGGTATTGTTTCCTCTGGGCGCACGCCTGGATTGTGGGTCCACCAGAAGCTGAAGTTCTGAGCATCTGTCACTGGGACTCTGAAGACCTCATTGGGGACTGGTTCAGTTGAAAGAAAGGCAGGTTATTGAATTTCTCCAGACTCCCTTGTTTTTCTGTCTTAGGATGAAAAGCACAGTCCAGCAACTTGCTGTGAACAGTGTCAGAAGTCTGGGAATGTGTTCACCACACCCTCCCTCCCTTCCGGATTCCAGCATCTCACACATTTCATGGTCAGATGGTTTAGTCTTGGTGTTTCCTGTTGCTAAGTAAGCCCTCCTTTAGGATGTGCCAAGATGGTGAGAAAAATAAGTAGTAGACCCATTGAGAAGTCTACAAGATGGGTCTACTGATTCAAGTGGTAGAATTCATTTGTTTTTGTTTTTTGAGAAAATGTTTTTCTATGTAGCCCTGGCTGTCCTGGAACTCACTCTGTAGACCAGGCTGGCCTTGAACTCAGGAGATCTTCCTGCCTCTGCCTCCTGAGTGCTGGGATTAAAGGTGTGTGCCTCTTCTGAACCATCTTCTTCCATTTCATTTCCCTTGCCTGAACTAATGCTTTCCTTTGCTTATTCTAGGGAATTCCCTGAAATTAACCAGTGACACCACCCCACTTTGAGATACCACACATAGATGTTATCAAGTTCCTCTTGCTCAAAATATTGTATAAGGTGTTTGTGTGTGTGAAGGTGCACCTATACAGGTACATGTATGTGCAGGTATACGTGGAGGCCAGAGGTTCCCAAAGAGCCATCCAGAAAGTCCATCACTAGGACCTGGGGCTTAATGATTAGGCCACATTGGCAGGGCAGGTCAGAAGTGACAAAGCCTGGCGCAGCTAGCAAGCTCTTGTCTCCTGGATCTCTGGCCCTCTTTCATCTGTGATCTAATGGCTTCCTGTGGTTTTCTGCCTGTCAGGATAAAGCTGCAGAGAGCACAACTGCTCGGGGCCCTTCAGCCCCATGAGGATAGATGACCCTTGTCATGCTTTAGGTCAGGACCTCTGTGGCAGTCCTCCCAGTGCTCCAGCCCCTTCACACTTCTCATACCAACATGTGACCTCATCAGGAATCTCACCTGCGCTGGAATAACTCCACTGCCTCCCGCACCCGGTGTGAAGTGACTTTAGTTCCGTTGGCTTATTCTGCTTTCTCTAGTCTTCCCCCTCCCCCCTCTCAACTTGAAGACTTGGCCATTTTCACCCCTTCTTGCCCTCGTTCCAGTTTTCATCTTCTCCTGCAAGCGTGCCCTCCTCAGTATAGAGTGAAGGTTTTGTCATTGAGAATAGAATGGTCCATGTATCTGGAAAAGAGAGGAAGCATCTCACATTCAGCCCGGCCAGGCCAAAGGGAAGGGTGCATCCTTACAAATGGTCCTCAGGACTGCCTCTGCGCAGAATGGGAGAGGGTGATGAAGTAGACCACTAAGGGAGACTGCTGCTGATGGATGCTGCTTGGAGTAGACGCATCCTCAGGAGTCCACAGGAATGCTGGAGACGTTGATTCTGTGTCACCCACACTGGAGACCACACTGCCCAGGGTCTGAGGCCCACTCTCCCTGATAAGACTCAAACCTCTTCTATTGTCTGATACCATCCCCCCACCCCCCACCCCGCCTTTTTTTTGAGACAGGGTCTCTCTATGTAGCTCTAACTGTCCTGGAACTCTGTGTAGACTAACCTGGGCTCAAACTCACAGGTCACAGAGATCCACTTGCCTTTGCCTCCTGAGTGTTAGGATTAAAGGCTGCATCACTACCCCAGGTCAATTCTCAGCTCTTATGTGGAGCCGAAACATAACTATGGGATTCAGTGCAGAAGGAGAGAACTTCTTCTGGTCTCCTACCCTGACCCTTCTCAGCCTAACCTGGTCATTGGGCTTTTAATGAGACAATGGCGTGGAGTCCGGATCCATGGTATTGTTTCCTCTGGGCGCACGCCTGGATTGTGGGTCCACCAGAAGCTGAAGTTCTGAGCATCTGTCACTGGGACTCTGAAGACCTCATTGGGGACTGGTTCAGTTGAAAGAAAGGCAGGTTATTGAATTTCTCCAGACTCCCTTGTTTTTCTGTCTTAGGATGAAAAGCACAGTCCAGCAACTTGCTGTGAACAGTGTCAGAAGTCTGGGAATGTGTTCACCACACCCTCCCTCCCTTCCGGATTCCAGCATCTCACACATTTCATGGTCAGATGGTTTAGTCTTGGTGTTTCCTGTTGCTAAGTAAGCCCTCCTTTAGGATGTGCCAAGATGGTGAGAAAAATAAGTAGTAGACCCATTGAGAAGTCTACAAGATGGGTCTACTGATTCAAGTGGTAGAATTCATTTGTTTTTGTTTTTTGAGAAAATGTTTTTCTATGTAGCCCTGGCTGTCCTGGAACTCACTCTGTAGACCAGGCTGGCCTTGAACTCAGGAGATCTTCCTGCCTCTGCCTCCTGAGTGCTGGGATTAAAGGTGTGTGCCTCTTCTGAACCATCTTCTTCCATTTCATTTCCCTTGCCTGAACTAATGCTTTCCTTTGCTTATTCTAGGGAATTCCCTGAAATTAACCAGTGACACCACCCCACTTTGAGATACCACACATAGATGTTATCAAGTTCCTCTTGCTCAAAATATTGTATAAGGTGTTTGTGTGTGTGAAGGTGCACCTATACAGGTACATGTATGTGCAGGTATACGTGGAGGCCAGAGGTTCCCAAAGAGCCATCCAGAAAGTCCATCACTAGGACCTGGGGCTTAATGATTAGGCCACATTGGCAGGGCAGCCAACCAGCCCCAGAGGTACACCTGTCCCTCCACAGCTCTGGAGTCATGAGTGTATACTTTGGAACCTGGCTTTTTACGTGGGCGTTGGGGATCAAATGCAGGTCTTTATGCTTGCAATATAAACACCTTCCTAACTGAGCTATCTCCTTAGGGTATTTGTGTGTGTGTGTGTGTGTGTGTGTGTGTGTGTGTGTGCGCGCGGGTGCATGAGTGTGTGCATGAGTGTGCAGGTGTGCTCCCTCCTTTCTCTGTGTATGTGTGGAGGCCAGAGGCCAATGCTGAGTGTCTTCCTCTATTGCTTTCCACCTAAAGTTTTAATTAATTAGTTAACTTTGGTCTTTGAAACTGGATCCCTTTACATGACCCTAGTTGGCCTGGAATGTACTATGTAGACCAGGCTGGCCTCAAACTCACAGGGATCTGCCTGTCTCTGCCTAACAAGTGCTGGCATTAAAGATGTGGGCTACTGTACTTTGCAAATTTTCTCTTCCTTCCTTCCTCCCCTTTTTCCTTTTCCTTTCCCTTCCCTCCCTTTTTCCCTTTTCCTTTCCCTTCCCTCCCTCTTCTCCCCTCCCTCTCTTTTCTCCCTCTCTCTTCTCCCCTCCTCTTTTCTCCCTTTCTCTTTTCTCTCCCTCCCCTCCCTCTTTTTTCTCTCCCTCCCCTCCCCTCCCTTCTCCTCCCTTCCCCTCCCTCTGTTTTCTCTCCCTCCCCTCCCTCTTTTTTCTCTCCCTCCCCTCCCCTCCCTTCTCCTCCCTTCCCCTCCCTCTGTTTTCTCTCCCTCCCCTCCCTCTTTTCTTTCCCTCCCCTCCCCTCCCTTCTTTTCTCTCCCTCCCCTCCCTTCTCCTCCCTTCCCCTCCCTCTGTTTTCTCTCCCTCACTGTGCAACAACCCTGGCTGTCCTGGAATTCATTCTATAGACCAGGCTGGCCTCAAACTCACAGAGATCCTCTTCCTACCTCTACCTCCCGAATACTGAAATTAAAGACATGAGCTGCCATGCCCCACCAATTTTCCTATTTTTAAGATCAAATTTCTGGTTTGCTCTGTAGTCTTGAGAATTAAGTCCTTAGTCCATTGACAAGATGTTACATTTTTACCTAGTTGTTCTCCTATTAGTTAATCATAAGTTCTAAATTATTTTTCACTATTAGAAATAATTTGAGGAGCTGGAGAGATGGCTCAGAGGTTAAGAGCACTGACTGCTCTTCCAGAGGTCCTGAGTTCAATTCCCAGCAACCACATGGTAGTTCACAACCATCTGTATGAGATGCCCTCTTCTGGCCTGCAGGGATACTTGCAGGCAGAACACTGTATAATAATATAAATAAATAAATAAATAAATAACCTGAAAAAATAATTTGAGTACCCCTTTTCTTATCTTTACCTATTTTGATCTTAAAAGTTTTTCGTTTAATTTTGGCCTAACCTGTGATGCAGGCCTCTAATCTCAGTTACCTGGAAGGCTGAAGCAGGAAGACTACAAGTTCAAGCCTGAACAATTTAGTGAAAGTCCATCTCAAAATAAGACTATAAAGAAGGGCTGATGATATGTATAACCCAGTGGTAGAATGAAATGTGTTAAAAGACATTGGGTCCCCCCACCCCATTTCTGTGGGGGGCTAATTTGAAGTAATTACAGTCACAGAGATATAAGAAATACTACTGGGAAAAAAAAATACTACTGGGGAAGACTCCCTGACCCTTAGAGGTGACATTTTATAAGACCATAGTACCCTGCCACAATTGGGACATTAATATACAAGATGAGAATTGTAAGAGATAATTCCCAAACATCCAGAGTTGCTGTTCTGTAGCCTCTGGTACAGCAATCTGGTCATTTCTGTACTTTTGTTATCATAAGAATATTACATAAATGGAATGCAGATCGTGCTCTTTTAGGGATTGTCCTTTTCTAATGAAGCAAAGTTGGAAGTTACTAAAAGAGGGAGGGAAGGAGGGTAGTCTGAGGAATTGTGTTCTCTCTCTCTCTCTCTTTCTCTCTCTCCGCCTCCCACCCTCCCTCCCTCCCTTGGTTTTTTGAGACAGGGTTTCTCTGTGTAGCTTTGTAGACCAGGCTGGCCTCAAACTCACAAAGATCTCTTTTTTTAAAAAAAAAATTGTATATCCATGTGTGTCTGTTGAGTATTTGCCACATTGTGGGAGCCCGTGGAGGCCAGAAGAATGGGGCTGGCATTACAGGCAGTTGTGAGCCATCCAGTGGGTGCTGGGAACCAAACTCAGGTCCTATGGAAGAGCAGCAAGTGCTCTTAACCACTGAGTCATTTTTCAGCCCCAGGAATGGCTTTCTTTAGAGAGCACAATTCCCTGAAGGTCCCTACATGATACTGTATGCATTGAGTCTGTCCTACTTTCTTTTCTGGAAAAAGTTGATGAGCTCCCATTTTCAAGTGGTTGGTAGAAGCTAAATGACCAAAGGAATGTCCCCAAGGTCACCCAACTTGTTTGGTGTTTAAGCTCAGTTTAAATTACTGGTGTTGGCTCTACTCCTCCAAAGTGCAGTGTGACAATACACCAGGTACTTTAATTGTTTCAGCTTTGTGTCATTGTCCTCACAATTCTGGGAGTATGAACATAAAACAGCACAGTGTCCCCTCTTCCAATCACCATGTGACATCCTAGTCATTCTTTAGGTACTTAGGCTTATTTCTTGTTGCCCACGCCAAGGTACTTACATGTTTTTAACAACACCTTCCGTACAGCTTCATGGTATCTTGAGTGGCTATTCTGGTGTATGGAATAATTACCATCTTCTGAGACAATTGGGGGAAACCTACAGGACACTGCATCCTTCTTGTCTGAAATGAGAAGGTTTGTTTTGAGTATTTGGCAAACGGGACTACTTTAGTCTTTGATTTCCTGGTCTCCATGCCAACGAGGTACATAGCAGGAATCCTTCTTAGCTCCCAGACACTCAGACACTCAATTCTCAGCATCCCAGGAGTCAAGTTATCAAGGCTGAGATAAAGTGGAGGGAGGAAGAACTCAGTGTTTACAAGAATCCCTCACCACTCCTCTCTGACTCCCAGATTTTGAGTGGCTTCCCACTGGACTCAGGATTCTGAACAGATATCTAGAACTAGTGCAGGGGAAAAAAAAATGGCCTCTTATCTGGACATAGATTCTCCCGAGACTGACATGTTTGTAGAACTTCAAATGGGCTGAAAGGAGAAGTGCTTGTTAAATCCTGGAAGATAAGCAATTTCTGGGCCTGAAGGAAGGTGCTTCAGGCTGCAGGATGGCTAGCGCTTCAGAAGTGTAGGCTGGATTGATAGCTCAGAGGTTAAGAGCACTGGCTGCTTTTCTAGAAGTCCTGAGTTCCAGCCACCACAGGGTGGCTCACAACCTTCTATATTAAGATATGGTGCCTTCTTCTGGCATGCAAGCATATATGCAGACAGAACACTGTATACATAATAAATAAATCTTTAAAAAAAATACAGAAGTGTAGGAGAGTGAGGGAGGTTTTCTGTTGATTGGAACCTGGAATGCTAGGTGATATGGAGAAGGGCAGGGGTGGGTGGGGGGCTGGGAAGGTTGTGTAGTGTTCATCATTTTCAGAAATTAGCACTTACAAAACAGAGTTGGCATGTCACAAATGACAGCTCTCCCCCTCCTGGCCTCTCAAGGCAATGTGTAACAGGATAGGCTTAAACACATCTAGATTTTAAATTTTCTTTGGAGACAGCATCTCACTATGTAGTTGTGGCTGCGCTGGAACTCACAGAGATCTGCCTGCTTCTGCCTCCTGAGTCAGAGGTTGCAAGGGCAGGGTGCAGATAGAGCTTTTGCTAGCTATGGTGATTGGGAGCAGCAGCATGGCATCCTGTTTCTCCCTCAGAACACAGAACTGTGTACTTGGTGCCAGCGGTGCCCGCCCTAATGTCCAGTGCAGTAATGTCTGTCTGCACCTCAGAACCTTGAAGAGGAGTGGGTTGTGACAGCTTCAAGATGTAGAACAGCATGGCTTGGTCAGGGGGTGAAAAGAAGGGTATTGTCCAGGGTTGCTCCAAGATTTCTTTTGGTTGTCCCACCCATGTATCACCCATGCCATATAGAGGGACTAGGTCCCTTATCCCTTCTCTCCCAGCCAGGCCCCTAAGAAGACCCAGCTCTTCATCTTCTGTTCTAAGTGTCTCTGTTCTGTTTTCACAGAGCCGTGGTTCTGACCCACCCCCTCAGATCTCACTCTTCCTTCTTCTTAATACTTGTCAAGGATGAGATCAGTGGAAACCTTTGAGGATCGATGCCTCATCTGGAGGGTGAGGGTGCTTCTTTTGTTGTGGTGTTCTCTTCCAACTCCTGTTTCCCTTTTTCCTCCCCTGGCCTCACTCATTCATCATCTATCCTCCCTTCTCCTTTCTGTCCTCCAAAGGAAATCTTGAATGTTTGATAACTGATATGACACCTCCAGAGTGAGGTGTAATTTGAATGTCCCCTCTGTGAAGCTGGAGACATAAGAGGGCTTAGAGGTCTCAAAAGTTTTGTGGGAGTGCCATTCTGGGATGCTGGTCTAAAGCAGGTGATGATCTGTACTTAATTGTAGGTTCCAGCAATGAGGGGTCATTTTCTGGAAATGGTATCATTTGAGCCTGGTTGATCAATTTTAGGCAAGGTAAAAGTAGTAATATGTCCATGGACAAATAGTGGTGGATTGAAGAGTAATAGCAGGCGTATTTCTAGTGGGTGTCTGGATCTGGGTTGAGAGTAAATTGTGGTTCTAAATGCAGGATACAGCAAGAGTGCCGTCTGGTCCTTAGGCATCAGACTGTGCTTAAGATACAACCAGATGATGTTCTCTGTTATTTGAAAGAGTCCAAGCAGCAGGCTCCCAGCTTCCCATATGGATGGCAGCTACGTCTGGAGTCTGCTCGACAGTCTCACCCACTTGGATGCCTGCCACTTGAGTCAAGCATATACCTTGCTCCTTGGGTTGGTTTGATTTTGTCTTTCATTTTTCTTTTGGTCAAACTGGGAGATATTCTTGGTAACTTATAGCTTCCCTCCAAAATGCCCAGGTTTGAAAAGGTGCCTGCGATGAAGGGTAGCAAGGGTGGGTAAGAAACATGCCAAGCTGGACAGTAGTGTTACACGCCTTTAATCAACCAGCCAGGAGGATCTCTGTGAGTTCAAGGCCAGCCTGGTCTACAGAGAGAGCTCTAGGACAGCCAAGGCTACACAGAGAAACTCTGTCTTGAAAACAAACACAAACAAACAAACAAACAAACGAACCACCCCAACAACAACAAAAAAGAAACATGTCATGGTTACTGAGGAATGTTCTCTAAAAAGGACACGATGATGAGTCAATTCCGCTGTGATGGGAGAGCTGATGACACAACAGAAGTTCTTCACACAGGTGGTGATGCCCTGTCCTGAATGGTGCTTGGGAACTAGTAATGACTATAAATAGCTGCTTTTAGAATTGGGCCATAAGTTGGGGTTTTCCATAAAACCACATTTAATGCTTTGACTGCATTTTGAAAACACCCTCGCTGATATGAGAGCACCTGGGTGGATCTTGCACTCATCCTAATTAATGAGGCAGAGTTTTCAGTACTATAGGCTGTCCTTGAGCCATCAATGGTCCTCGAGTCCAATTATCCACCACTTGGCTCAAGGCTTTTTTTGGAACCCAGGCTGGTTGGGTCCAGTATTTCCAGTTGAAGAATTCAGACTCAGTGACTCCTTGAACTCTGACTTCTAGATTGAGGGGTTCCAAGTTCTTGGGTCATAATGATGACAGTATCCAATACATTATTTGCAATTGTCTTGGCATGCTGGTTTACAAACAGTAATAGCAGTTGACTAGAAATCCATACAAGATTAGGATGAGAAAAAATGCTATGGTATTGTACATAAAAATACAATGACTCCTGAGCTGCCTGGCTGGCCCAGCAGTTATGAGTGTTAGATTGCTGTGCTATCCCTTGCTGTGTTAACACACGAGAACCAGAGTTCGTATCCTCACACCCATGAAAAGGCTAGATGTAGCTCCATGAATGTCTGTAACTCCAGCACTGAGGGGACAAAAACCAGGTCACTGTTGGTTGCAATTCTAGTAAAGAAGTGGGAGCTCCAAGTTCAAGAGACTCTGTCTCAGAGGAACAAGGTAGAGATAGGACATCTGGTGCCCTCCTCTGGCTTCCGTGTGAGCACAGGCATACTCATTCATACATATATGTGCGCATACTATATATATATATATAGACCACACATATGTATGCAATTTTTTAATTTGAAAAGTGAGGGAGCTAGAGAGATGGCTCAGCAGTTAAGAGCACTGGCTGCTCTTCCAGAGGACCTAGGTTCAATTCCCAGCACCCACATGGCAGCTCACAACTGTCTGTAACTTCAGTTCTAGGGGATCTGACACCCTCACACAGACATATGTACAGACAAAACACCAATGCACATAAAATAAAAATAAATAACTTAAAAAAGAAAAATGACCCCTATCTACAGATCATATCAGATGGTACTATTAACCATTGAAATTGGCCTGGGCATATTAAGATGGTTTGCTGAAGTATGTTTGGAGGGCTGTCTTGTACTTACTGTCTTCCTTGATGCAAGGGAATTATCTGTGCTTTGGGAAGAAGTGGACATGAGCCTAGGGAACCAGATCCTTGGCTATGTTTGTCATATGGGGCCAGTTCTTTGCCTTTGTGTCTTCAGTGGCATGCCTGCTGGCTCTGAGTGTAGGGAGAACAGATGGGGCCTGAGCAGCACAGGGACTTAGTGCTTCAAACTACTTAGGTAAAGTGGATTTTCTAGAGATAAAGATTGCTAATATTAATGTGCCCCGCACAGCTCTATAAAGTAGAGCTCTATCGTTTGACAAAAGGATCCAGAGACACAGAGAAGTTTAGTCATTTGTGTGAGGCCACAAACTCACATGTGGCAGGAACATGAGTTTGTCCTGAGTAGCTCTGGGGAACTGACTCTTCCTGACTGCTCCTTAAAATAGCTCCATCGAGGCTTCCAGGAGAGAGGGACAATTAGACTAAAAACATCATTCTCCTTACAGATGTGCACAGCTGAGTGGAGGATTTCAGCAAGCATGTCTGCTTGCCTAGACTTGAGTTGGATAGGGATATGGCCTCACTGCTTTGATCCAGAGGGAGAGCCCAAGCTCTCTGAGTTTTTCTTAAAGTCAGCATTGGAAGCAGGAAGGGCTGGGACTTGTCACTCTTGCAGTGAGTTGGACCAGCCCTACTGGGCAAGAGCAGTGTGAAAAGGTTGAGCCCTTGTAGGAAAAATGGCCTGTCTGTTGTCTATAGACAAAGTCACTATCGTCACCACTGTGGAGGTGGGCCCACTCGAGGTTTCAACACTGGTTGTGATTAGCATAAATATCTCCCCATCTAGTTTCGTGGGGATGAAATTTGGTGGTCCATAGCAGTTACAAGTATGTCTAGGTTTTCTAGATACAGTTCCACATGGTTGTTCTATACATTGCAAAAGCAGAGGGTCTCTGGCCAAGTTCATGGTTGGCTCAACTGTGCCATTAAGTGCTCCTGTTTGATAAAGCTAGAACTATAGTGCCCTCTGCTGGAGTAGACAAGTGGCATAGTTTGTCTACCAGCAATATCTTGTCACCACCCAGGCAGCTCAGAGAGACCAAGAAGCCTAGAAGCTTAAGTAGAGGACATTGCAAGCAGGATTAGAAAAGTGTCTCCCTCCTTCTCTGTTTTCCTCCCTCCCTCCCTCTCTCTCTGTTCCCCCCCCCCGTGTGTGTGTGTGTGTGTGTGTGTGTGTGTGTGTGTGAAGGGACAACCTTGGGTGTCAGTTCTTG